GGATTTCAAAACTGGACATTGCATGGAAAGTTACCAATTAGCCTTTATATGTGGCAATTCGCTCAATACTGGTTCAAATAGAGCCATGCTGTCAAAATACTAGTACTTTTGCAGCAATTCCTTGTAAAGAACTTTACGAAATGAGAGAATGCCCCAACTTTCCTTTTATAGATCATCTGTTGGGAGGATTCAGTGATCTTTGAAAGGTCTTACCCCTGAACTCAACTGCTTCAGAATGGGTTCTTCAATCCCGTCAGCTAAATTTCCACTTCTTCCATGGAAGGCTGAAGTTATGCTAAGGTATGCCTTAAGGGTATGATAATGTGATGACATTGTTTAGTTTTCAATGGGAAGTAGTTTTACAGGTAGTGAGCACAATGCTCATGGAGTTATTTTCTTGTGTATTTTTGTGCTATTGCTCTCTTCTAACAGTGCATTGTAAATTGTTGGCACACTTCCACTTTATTCTGTTTTATAATCTAACTCCTATTTCATCTATGGATCTTGACAGTTGTCATTATCCACAATGCTCACCTGATTATCTGGTGCCTATTCCTTTACCCACAACCTCCTTCCCCACCATTCCATTGGTTGCTGTTAAGATTTATTCTTTGTTCATGTTGTTGAGTTTCTTTCAAATATGAATGATTTTTTAAAGCATTCTTAGCATGGTAATAGTATTAAAATATTTTGGTGCTTGCTGTTGTGACGGGTGCCTTGCACCATGATGAGTGGAGTTGTGTGCAATTATGGTAAGTGGTAGCTAGGGAAAGGAAACCCAATCTAGCCAGCTTATTCTCCAGGTATCCAAGTTGCTGTTATTTTTCGTGAGTGTCGTTAGCAGGTTTGTATAAATGTTCATGTTTTTATTTTAAGTGAAATTGGGTTATGGCCTATTTTAATCCTTCCATTTTCCTGATATCTATCATGCTCCTCCATTGCTTCAGAATTTTATTTACGGTTCTCATGGAAGGAGTGATTCCACGACGATTGTGACTATGTTTTTGATTTTGGTACTAAAGGAATTTTTGCTGCTTTTTTTCAGTAGCATGAGCATGGAGCTTTGAAAGGGACCCTAGCATCTGTCTGTGACGTAAAGCAGCCTTCTGGGTATTACTACTCATAACTCTCATACTCTCTGACAATTTTCTCACTGCAGCAACATCTACCTTGATAAGTTGAATATCTTTCTTCCATTGTGGTGTGGTAAGCCTGTTCTCACTGTATGTTACTCTAGAGTTGGCTGTGATGGCATCTTGAAAGCAAGAGGTTAGCGATCTGCCTAGCCCTAACCATAGTTTAGTGCATTGATTTAAATATTTTGTTTACATGTCACGATTCCAAACACTCAAATACGATTTTTAAACGCGAATTACAAAGGCTCGATGCGTTAGATTGCACAATACCCGAGAAATTTAAATATTTTTATTTACTCATTTATGAAATTAAAAGCAAGCTCGGGCGTCATGAGCTTCCCTATGGTTTCATATCGGGTGGTTTTTTTTTTCCCCTCATGCCTATGTGGGGGGATTTTTTTTTCCGGTGCTTTCGGTTTCTCTATGACGATATACACTGGCGATGCGAGGAAATGGAAAATCTTTCAAGAAAGGAGGGAGGAAAGGAAAAAATAAGGAGAAGAGTTGGAAAACCGGCGTCTGCTCCTGCTGCGTCTCGTGAGGAGAGAGAAATGTTCACGGGTGTTTTTGTGGATTTGCCCGGAAGGCCGTCTGCGTTTCTCCGACTCGATAGAACCGTCTTGTTTCGGGCAGGTGAAATGCCCGAGGGGGTCGTCCGTGCAGGCGTGTCGGGTCGGGACCGACACCCCGATCGTGAGACGATGCGCCGAATCCAAACGTTTCGAAGTCGTCGTCTCCTTCCTTTCCCCATCGGTGTGTTTTTTGGAAACGCGAGAACGATCGTCGGACTTCCTCGCACGAGTCGAATGGGATCGGACGGCACGAAGCGTCAAAAAGGAGCGGGATCGAAAACTCCTCGACTCGGGCAGCCGAACGTCGGTCTGTCGCACGCGCAGTCGCGTGGGTACGACTCGTCCGTCTCCGCCCGAGTCGCAGCCGGTCGCGGCCGGAGGACGAGCGGAACGAAGCGAACGCGTCCCGGACTTCGCCGCCCTCACGACACTCGTACGGCGATACAAAAGTCACGTCGACCTTCCGACGTGGGTTCGTCCGAGTCGCAACCGTTCGAAGGGAAATCGGGTCGGCGCCACGAATTCCGTCCCTCCCATACGGTCTGCCTCCAAGTTGCATCCTTCGACGTGATGACGTGTCATGAGAGCGTTTTCGACAAAATTTCACCGATGTTCCGTCCGAAATCGTGAACGGACGGCGCGTGCACGTTCCTCTCGATCGATATGACAATCGATGCGAAAAACGGGAATTTCGAAACGCGGGTGGAGAGCCGGATTCGAAGCCGAGAGGGCTCGAAATTCCTGTCGCTTCCGAATGCGGAAGCGGTGAGGCCGACGTTCGCGCCGATTTCGTGATTTTATCGCCACCGTGTGCCGTAGTCGCGCGAAGAGTCGCGAGCGACATCGTTCGGATGAGGGCACGACGCCGTCCGGACCTTCCGAGCGACGGAGCACAACCTCTGGATGAGAAATTGCGGTCGCGACGGAGACGTAGGCACCGATGCCGTGCTGCGGCGTCGGCAATTTTTCTTCATTCCGAACGCGACTCGGCCTCCGAGAAGTTTCCGCACCGAGAACATCTGGACGTGACTCGGCCTGCGGCTCCCTCTTGCCGAACGAGCGGATCACGAATGGCGTTACGCGATTGGTCAGAAGGTAAAAAACCCGCGGAACAGCCTGGATCGGAAGCCTAGTGTCGCGTAGCTCTCCTTCTCTCTTCCCTTTCGCCTGCACTGCTGCCAAGAAGGACGGAGGTGTCTCCGCATCGTCCCTTCACTTCACCTACCTGGCCTTTCTCACGTCTTTCCAATTTTCGTGTCGTCGTCATTGCATCACAACGTGGTATGATTAGTCTGTAGTCCCGAGGACTTTTTCGCACGAAGGCTTCTCTCGTGAGTTGGTTCCGTGGTATTCCTTCTCGAGGCTTTTCTCGGTGCGGGAGCTCTCGGTCCGTTTCTTCGGCTCTTGCACGGTTAAGATGGTGCCATTGTGACCGAATGCACTTGTTAAATGAAGGATCGCAAGGGGGACCGAGTTAGGCCTAACACTCGACGCGTGAATTCGCTCTCGGTAACGTTATCTTCTAACGATAGGGTTTTCAGGGAAACGCGATGAGGTGGGGTGTCCGACGTGGGCCTAATTAGGATCGATCGTCCCAACCGTTAGAATAGCTTGCGAACGTGAAAGTCTGGCATGTGTTTTCCCTCAAAGAATAAGGGAATCTTTCGTGGACCTGGTACCGACGGAGCAAGCCAATTATTCGATTCTTTGATGCAACCTGGTGAAGAAGCAGCGTGTTACGAACTACGTCCGATTCTTCAGGCGGGAAGTGACGTTAAATACATATTTTGAAATCCATGTCCACGTTTAACTTGGCTTTCGTGGTGCAGTTGCACTCCGATTCGTTGTTCGTCTTTAATTTGCTAACCGGCTTCGATGAGTCTCGGCCACGTGGCGGAAAAAGGCAATAGCAGTGACCATGGTTCGATGATTTCTACATATTTGAGATTTCCTCGGTTACTTGTCTTAATTTTTTTTTTTTTTTAAACGCCCTCAGTTGCTGAAGAGGTACATTTTTTCCACCACGGAATCCTATTTCCGCTTGTGCACGACTGCTTTCTCGTTTCTTCCTTTAAATGAATGCAGCTCATTATGTTGAATGTGGGTAGCCTTGGTCCAAACGGGCGACGGGTGAGGCAGACGCTCCCATCGCAAGACCTGCAACGTTTCTCTCGCGAGACCTGGCGTTGTCATGCTGCAGAATGACAACGTTAAGCCTTGCGTGCGTGCAGTCGAGCGCAGCCAAACGTAGTCGTGCTGCAGGACGATGACGTTAGAACTCGCTCGACTGCGGACGCAAGAAGAACGTTAGAAGCCTTGTGGTGGGAGTTCTGGTCTCTCTCTTCTTCCAACCCTGACCTTGTCCCGTGCCATTTCTGTCGGCTCCTCGCGATGAAGAAAGTCAAGAAGCAGTCGTCACGAACACGAAACATAGTTGCATGCTACTGCGAAGCATTAGTTTCGACGGTTACCAGTTTCTTTCGGGATGGGTTTCCGAAATGTTCGACCTTTTGGGCTTAAAATCGGAGTGATCATGGAATTTGGAAAAGGTAGGAAACGAAGTCATCGCATTGACCAATGGTGTTCATGCATTTATGAGGAAGCGGAAGGTATGGCGAAATAATAGGTCGGGTTTTCAGGTAATTTTGGTTAATCCATTTAAGTGTTTTACTCATGATTGCCATAGTACGAAGCGTAAAGCGAAGAAACGTTATATACGGTGTGAAGAACTTCTCAACATATAGGTAGAGGTCCTGTGGACAGGTAAATTCTGACTGTAGGATATTGCATTTCATAGTTTTGTTTGGGAAAGACCAAATGAATGTTGTCATATTCTCGCAATTTTTAAAATGCAAAGTGACTAATAGATTTCGTAGCTAACGTGTTAACCAGTCGATTTTAGGAGTTGACAGGTTTTTTTGAGAGAAGAGGACGGAGGAGGAGAAGAGGACGGAGGAGGAGAAGAGGACGGAGGAGGAGAAGAGGACGGAGGAGGAGAAGAGGACGGAGGAGGAGAAGAGGACGGAGGAGGAGAAGAGGACGGAGGAGGAGAAGAGGACGGAGGAGGAGAAGAGGACGGAGGAGGAGAAGAGGACGGAGGAGGAGAAGAGGACGGAGGAGGAGAAGAGGACGGAGGAGGAGAAGAGGACGGAGTCCTGGACCTGGCGGATGGAAGATGGATTAAGGAGCAGCCCTGATGACATTTGGAAGGTAACATGTTAGAAGAGACCCATGATCTAGAGGTACCTATGTATACTTAGCTCATAACTGGATATGCTACAATTAGGCATGATGTACCTAGAATGCAGAAATCGCTGCTTACATTGTGTAGCAAGATTTAACAAAAGTTTTTGATAGTTCATTTTTCTTTAAGGTTTTTTGTTCACATGAGAGTGAGAAATGAATTTTAGTTTCCGCATATCCATTCTGAACTAATTGCAAGTTCTTTACCCTTCAGGATGTGAGAGTACCAAAGCAACTGCCACTGGGTTTTTCATTGATACATCAATGCCTGTGGTGAATCCTGATGCCTGTGAGTGAGTTTTGGTGAGTAGAGTTTCTGCTTTTAGGATTTTAAGGAAATGGTATTAAACAACATGAGGGCAATCAAATGCAAATGGTATGCATACCATACCTGTGTTTGAGGAATGTCTTCTGGTATTTTCACTTAATGGATTCTAGTGTATTTGTGTTTAGTGCTCCTATTGTAATTTATGTAGTTTAGCAAGTATTGATAAGTCATGGTTGGTCCCAGGGAGATGCTGCTTTACTGTCATGTGCATGGGATGCAATGTGACTGGTAGTATGAATCAGTCTGAATAGGTACAAAGAAGCAACTAATTTACTCTCAATTTCGATTTCAATCAAGCAATTCAGCTTTTTTTAAAGGTTTCCTTTTCACTCTTTGTGCCCTTCTACTGGTCAAAACTCCGTGAATTCCTTTAGGTGAGATTTGTGCTTGTTCAAGAATGGAGTATTGCCACATAGTTTGGAAGAATAGCTACAATAAGAATGTAATAAATATCATTGAAGAAAAGAGAACATGAAAGGGAATGTGGTATAACCCTTGGGAAAGAGATTCTAAACAATTGGAACAAAATGTAATTGGAACCTCAAGGAACAGAAAAGAACTGGTCCATCTGATTACAAAACTATTGTTTGGGGTCACTATGGATTTAAATAAAGATTTAATCCAGGCGTAATCCCTTACCCAATCGATGTCCCTTGCACCAAATTTGGAAATGCAACTCAATCTTGAAAGGAAATCGTTCATCCTGCCCTCAGACACTCGTCACTGAATCAAACTTTAGTTAAACTAGGGGACCAAAATGACACTTCAAATCTTTAGTTTGGTAGGAGATCAAAAAGAAAATTTTAAGGGAGGGAAGGTCACAAGAGGTAGGGCAGAGTTCCCCATCAGCTAAGAACTGACTATTCCCTTTCAATCCTTCCTCTGTTGTGGATTTCAGAGGAGTTTTCTAACTGACCACCTTCCTCATTGAACATTTAGTTTTCAGAAAAAGCTTTAGTTGTGTAAAAAAAATGGAGAACAAATTCATTCTCATTAATTTCTTTATCTATGTTAGTCTTTAATGAAAGAAATGAAAGAAATCATGGATTTCAAAACAGGGCATTACATGGAAAGTTACCAATTTGCCTTTATATGTGGCAATTCGCTCAATATATGTTCAAATAGAGCCATGCTGTCAAAATACTAGTACTTTTGCAGCAATTCCTTGTAAAGAACTTCACAAAATGAGAGAATACCCCAACTTTCCTTTTACAGATCATCTGTTGGGAGGATTCAGTGATCTTTGAAAGGTCTTACCCCTGAACTCAACTGCTTCAGAATGGATTCTTCAATCCTGTCGGCTAAATTTCCACTTCTTCCATGGTTGCTGTTATTTTTCGTGAGTGTCGTTGGCAGGTTTGTATTAATGTTAGTGTTTTTATTTTAAGTGAAATTGGGTTATGGCCTATTTTAATCCTTCCATTTTCATGTCTATCATGCTCCTCCATTGCTTCAGAATTTTATTTATGGTTCTCATAGAAGGAGTGATTCCACGGTGATTGTGACCACGTTTTTGATTTGGTACTAAAGGAATTTTTGCTGCTTTTTTTCAGTAGCATGAGCATGGAGCTTTGAAAGGGACCCTAGCATCTGTCTGTGGCCTAAAGCAGCCTTCTGGGTGCTGCTGCTCGTAACTCTCATACCCTCTGACAGTTTTCTCACTGCAGCAACATCTACCTTGATAAGTTGAATATCTTTCTTCCATTGTGGTGTGGTAAGCCAGTTCTCACGGTATGTTACTCTAGAGTTGGCTTTGATGGCATCTTGAAAGCAAAAGGTTAAATGTCCTGTAATGGTTAGCCGATTTCAATCAGTCACACGTGTTCAGCTTGCATTTAGGCGTATGAATGAAAACTTATTTGCAAGAACTCCATTCAATGATCCATCTCCTTGCTGGCCTACCATGGTGGAGGAATTGCATTTACCACGCATTTCCATGAAGTTATCTTGTGTCCATAGAACAAGTCATGTGTGAAGCACACCATGTACCTCGGATTTAAGGTGTTGAAGCATGTGGAGCTTATTGGGAAATGCTTATGGTTCCACCCTTCCACTTTCTTCATATTGTTTGTATCATCTTCAAATGGAGTCTTTGTGAAGAAGTTACTGTGTCATAAGGGTCTCAATTTGCGCTGGAAGAAGTTTAAAATTGAAATTCCATTAACTTGTCAAGCATTAAGCCTTTTGCTTCCTAGATGCCACTATAGCACATTCTAGAGCAACACAAGAATTGTGTACATTAGGTTTATCTAAATTCAGCATCATTTTCTTGGTAGCTGTCACTGAGTGTTGGTTGAGTTTGTTAAATGTGTCTTTATGGTTTTAGTGAAGTGGATGGTTTCATTTGTTTATAATGTTATGGACCACTGCTTTGAGGTTTTACACTGTCATTGCTACTGTCGTATTGAATGGACAGAAGGTGGTGGGTTAGCTTGATGACAGTGCAGCATGTGTGTAATCAGTAGCATCAAGGTTGAATTGATACTCTCCATGCCCTTGCCAGATGAGAGGGTTATGTATTTCTGGACAAGTATGAAATTAGTGAAAGACTAGGTCATTAATGACTGCTAATGTGAGAAGTCTGAGGGGTCTGTTAGCAGGATTTTACTGTTTCTGTGGCATCATGGAGAAATGGTCTGTGTTCAGGGGAGGTTTTAAGTATGACAGTTGATATATAAAAGTACTTCTAGCAGAGGTGTGAGAGAGGTTGCTGAGTTAAGGTGTTGTCTCCATATTTGGGGTGTGTAGCTGTGATTCATATTTTACCTCTGCATCATGGTGCTGTAGGCTGGAAGGGCAGAGGGCAAGGAAGGGGGATCAGGTGAATGTGACAGGAGGGGAGGGGGTTCAATCTCATTGTAATTCTGATTTTCTCCCATTGGATGTTTTAAGTTTTCTTGAGGAGTGGTTTATATGACAGAGGCCTGGCATTGTCATGTTGCAGAGTGATAATGCTAAACCTCTCTCAGCTGTGCTGTGCAGCTGTGCAAGGCCTATTGTTGTCATGCTGCAGAATGGCAATGCTAATCCTTGCATTTGTCTGTGCAGCTGTGAGCCTCAGCATTGCCATGCTGCAGAATGCCAATGCTAAGACTCACACTTGTGTGTAGTGTGTAGCCATTTGTGGGCTAGTGTTGTCATTCTGCAGGATGACAATGCTACGTTTCACATGGCTGCACCCACAAGGGAAATTCACAAGCCTAAGACTTTAAATTACTCAACACCCCATAATTAAATAGCTTTGATTGAAGATTTGAGCAGAATTCATGACAGGAGATGTAGTATTAAAGATTAAATAAATACCCAATAGCAAATTTTGGCAAAAATAAATCCATTGGACCTACATTCAAGGACACCTGGGTAAATACTTAAAATTGAAGTACTCATTCTACTTCAATTTTTTACATTATTTTTATGGGTGATAGTGCTGTTGTGTTGGTGTGATTATTGTGGTATTAAATGCTGTTTATAATGTTCCATTTGTTTGATGCTAACAGTACAGCCTCTTAACCTACTAACTCATTGCTTGTAAATGCCTGACTCATTTGGTTCAAATTGTGCTTTCTTGCTACTAATGCTTTCCTTTTTCAGGAGCAGTTAACCCTTGTGAATCAGAGGAACCATAACCTGGTGATTATCACTCTGTTACTCAGAAGGCTGGGTAGATACCAGTGCCAAGTGCTAGTAGAAGTTTCTATATATCTAGTACCTTACTCTACAGGGTGTTCCATATGTCACTATAACAAAAAATCATATTTGCTAAACAGTTAACAGTACTGGGATGAATAATCTTTCTAGGTGTTATAAATGAGGGATGTTACAGGGGAGATATGCTTTGAAGCTGGCAATTGTTTAACCATATTGAGTGAGATTATGAAAGAAGGTATAGATAGACCACGATTACAAAGCAATTAGAACCAAAATACAGCGACACATCTAAGTGATGTCATTTAACTTGAGTCATGTTGCAGCAGCCTTGCATGGTCGTCACATTGTAATGAGTTATTTTGATGAATGGGAAGAGGGTGAAGGGAAAAACCAGAAACCAAGCATGTGGAATTCACTGTCTACCTTACTTTAAATTTGTTGCATGGAATCATGAGGTAGTATCAGTATATGAGGGCAGAACTGAGTGTAGAGATTGTCCAGAAAATCTGTGCAACCTGCAGGCCCTTGGAAAGGTAGTCATTTGGAAATAATAAAAAAAACAATGGGCTTTAGTTAGGTTAGGTTTAGGGAGTTTAGTTAGGTTTACATGGAAGTATGCAAACTCTTCATGTGCCAGGGACATTGATGTGACATGGTGTGCCAGGGAGGAAGTAGAAAATTCTTGAGGGGGGAATTTGTTTTAATTATGTGAATTATGTAAGAAAAATGATAGCTCTGAATGCAATGAATAAACAAATAGCTTTGATAGATGATTTGAGCAGAATTTATGACAGGAGGTATAGTATTGAAGATTAAATAAATACCCAATAGCAAATTTGTCCGATTGATAATTTAACAATTATTTTATGCATAATCTCTTTTTTTATTTATTCCTAATTTTTCCATGAGTATGAGCCAGAAGTCAAGGAGGCCAAACCACATTGTTTGGAGATCATTATTTATTTTTCCTCTGAGAATGTTTGGCTAACATTTTTGCATCCTTGTGTTTTAGCAGAGAACTTGGGCATACTGAAGCCAATGGAGGGAGGAAGCCCTGTTAATGCTACTGGCTTCATCATCAATGGGAACTTGATGAATGACTGACATCCCAGGGTCCCAACACTCCTTGTGGATGCCTTCATGTGGATCATTCACTTTGTTTGGAGGCTTCCACCTCCATACTGCTTAACCCTTTCATGCACAATTGAGTATTACTGAATTCTGGCTTCTTTATTTTTTCGTTTATGTTTGAGAACTTATATACCCCATTTCACATGAACAAATAAACATTTTATTTTTCGAAGTCACAGAACTATTAAAAATTCCATCTTCTATGGTAGACACCATGCTCTTTAGCTAACAATTACATTTTCACATCTTCTGGGAAACCTAATACATGCCCAATTCTTTTGTAGTTTCATGTCTTCTTAGATTTCTGAGTATGGAAACGTTCCATAAAAATAGGACGCTGGCTCTTTGCATGTCTTGCACCTACCTTTACCTACATACCTTTCCTGAGAAACGAATAGTGTTGGGAATTTGCTAGGGAATGCTGTCCACTGGAGTGGACAGTAACATATTAGCCTTTAAATTCGCAATAACGTGCTGGAAACATAATCCACGTGGACTTTCCCACTTTTGAACTGAAAAATATTCATTTACCGGCTTCAAATTAAGTGAAAGATTTTTCTTAGATTTTATTTTTTTGCTGCTGTGCCAATCTTTTCCTTCTACTCAACCCTATGGTGGAAGTTGAGTATCCTGTATACTTATCTCCAGGAAGTTCTCTCAACAGGGATGGGATATGAGTGTCCAATGGACACCTGTTTATTTGAGTTGCTAGCATGCACTAGTGGGAAAAGGGCAGCCACTTCCAAGCCTATATATATATATTCAACGTTATTTCACATGTTCCTGGACAACCTGGAGTTGTGTTCTCAGAAGTGGGCATATTACTCCAACTATAGGGTTAATATGGCCTCTTGAGGCTTATTTGAAAAAGATCCAAGGGTGCCATAACCATGGGTTTTTTGCATATGCTTTGCGGGCATTTAGCAAAGGAGATTTCAATCAATATTTTAGAAACAATGTAAAAGTCAAATTCAACCTTGGTGGGCCATGATGACCAGGTTTCTATTTATCAGGTCATATTTCCCCAAATTACCTTATACATATTTCATGAAAAAACTTAAATGGCCAAAAATTCTACTCCTTCCCGACTCCTAATTATGCACGCATAATGACTCATGAAAACAAGTTTGAATTTTAACCTTTTCTCTGGTGCTTCAAATAATATATCCCAAACTGCTGAAAGAAGGTTCATAAATTCTAGCTGAATCTCCTAAACTTCTTTCATCTCAGTTTGACAAATTTTTTTCAACTGTTCTGAGAAACCATGATGCTATGATTGAAGGGTTCTCTTCATATAGAATCTTCCTTTACTCAAAGCTTTAAATTCTCATTTTCAGGATATTTTACATTTTTGCATGAATACATTTTGGAAGCAGCCCAACTTCATCAGGCCACAGTTGCAGGAGCAGCAGGGAGGTGCTCTAGTGTTCCTGATCCTTGGCAATGAATTTGAGCAAAGAAGTGGACTGCCAAACCTCATGAGCCACAATTTTCCATTGTAGTCAATCCACCTTGTTTGAGGTGTATTGACTGATCATTTCCCTGGCCATCTTGGAATCATGGATTGAGAAATTCTTTTTGGGTTCTCTTGGAGGCAATGCAGCAGGCATGTCCAAACCCCTAGAATTGCGATATCTCTTTCCAATGATGTGACTGCATGACTTGGTGTTTCCCATTGACAGTGGTATTCCACATCCTATCAAAGTACATAAAACTAGTCAGCAGACATGTGAACCTCATTTCAACAGCCTTTTTTTAATGATTAGCTTCTTTTGATCAATGCCAAAGTGCTTTAATGAAGCCCCTTGACATATACTCACATAAGATGCATTAAACTGTATTTCCCAAAAAGAACCATGATATGGGTTTTAGGGGCAAGAGTTTCATTCCAGCCCTCATGAATTGAGAGACAAGCTTATTTCATGCATTATACAGCTCCATTGGTGGCTGCATCTAAAGCCTTGGACTCCTGCAATGAGCAAGCTGAAATTTATTTACCTTTACATCCCAAATATTAACCATATTAACCCTTCCAGGTCAATATTATGCCTACAAATCTCATTCATATACTGTATGTATTTCAAGAAAGGGAAAAGAGAGAAAAAATCAATGTGGTTTTCATTTTATGCCATGAAGGAGCCCTTTACACATCCCTCTCATTCCACTGCAGTTTGTGCAGCCACAGTATAACAAATGAAGAAACTGCAGTGGCTTAGTTTACATTTTGTATTCCTGCATTGCTTCCAGTGATTTCCTTCAAAGCTCATAGTTGTGTATTTTTCCAAGATTTTTTGAATGCATCTAATCACCTGTGGCTTTCTCCCAATACCCCCTCAATTTTGGGTGATGAAATGCTGGACTTTGATGCTAAATTCTTCATGAAACTGCTTTGGTCCTCCTCTATAGTTTTGCCTATTCTTTTCTAAAACTTTCTTGTTTAGTTTCAGAAGTATATTAGTCTGAGCAGGAATGTTTTAGAATTATGTTTTTGTGTGGTCAGAAGAGCAAATAGTCTCCTTGATAATTGGTCTGACAGAGCATCTTTGTAGCTAAGAGGGTGTCTAATTCCCTTTTGTTTCCTGAACATTTTCCATACTTTGTTTTTGCTGTAGCTCCAGCACCAGAGGCAGTACTGTGTCCATTTTCAATGAACACTCTCAGTCAGATCTACTAGATAAATATTCTTTATTGGGCACCTTCTGTATTGCAACATCCTGGTGTACTCCTGTTGTTCACCAGAGGCATGTTTTGAGATATGTTCCTTTGTCAGAAGTCTGTTTAGGTCGTTTTTAATACTTCACTTGAATTTGTTTCATCATTATTAGATAAATTCAAGCAATTTCCATCTCACTCATTTCCCAATGCTTTGGGCTTTTAGGTCTTTTGAGGTTTCCTCATATTTAATACTTTCTATCCACTTGGTGTCAATTTGGCTCAGTTCTGCCCATATTTTACTTTCATTTCCATCAACATACCCACAAAATGCTCTGCTGCTGGCATGATCATTTCGTCAAAGTTTTTATATGAGGATACCAGACTTCACTGAATATAACATGTGGCCAAAGATGAGTCAAACCTCAATCCAGAAATAAATTTTTTCTGCTTAGGGACTTGCAGAGTCTGTTAGTATCACTGATCACTGCATCAATGACCTGAGACATTTCAAACCCACCATATGACAAAAATGAAAGAGCATCACAATTATTTCTCTTATTACAACAATCTAGGAATGTCATCCACGTCTTTGTTGGTTGTGGTTGACAACTGTTGGGGACACATTCATTAAAATTTTTTATGAACTACAAAGAGTGAGCTTTCATGTCCAAGATGAAGTTGACCTATATGTTAATTAGATTAATCAGTAAAATCAGAATTTAATAAATGAAATCCATTGTTGAAGTATGCCTTTTTTTCCCACCCTCATTACTGATATGCCATGTTGATAATTATGTCTTCTCTCCCAGGTTTGCCTTGATGCCACTATTAGAGCAATTGGCTACAACTTTCAGTCAATCATATTCCTTGTTGTGGAAGACCAAAAATCATCCCAAAAGTCTTGATTACAGGCGATGCACCAGCTTTTCACAATGTCTGGTGCTATGTAATGGAATCATGGCACTTAATTTTCTTCTCATGGCATGTGCTACACTCTTGGCAGACAAGCAGGAACGTAATAGAAGACCATGAGAAATGATGATCCACATATGAATCCATAAAGAATGATACGCAATTGCTTCTGTCAACATGTTTGGCAGTTTTCTGCAGAAGATGCATGATGACCTTGATATGACTGACTTTGGAACCACTTCAGAAAGACCCTGCAGCAAGTACTGAGGCTTGGGCATTTTGCT